CGATTATGTCGATATGCAACAATTATCGTATAATATTTAGAGTCTACGAAAAGTTATGAACGGTTACAATGTACCTATCAGTCAAATTTAATAAGTACACATTTCTGATTTCTTACAAAATGTTTGATTCAAGAGCAGATATAACATTATTGTTACACTACATATTTTTTTTATAGTATGGATACTTTGCTTTCTATTTTTATAATAGAATAAAATTTGTGCACAATAGGAAATCCCAAACATGTATAAACAATTATGATAAAATAATTTTTTTGATGAACATTAAATTGACATAATTGATGTAATAATATACATGTTTATATTTTGATAATGTGTTCACCAATATAATGTGTTGTTCTTTATTCCTATTATAAATTTGATATAATAGGTTTTCGAAACATTAGTTATAAGTAGGCCTGGATTTTTATGTTTTAATATATTTTTATTGAAAGTATGCAACTCCAATTGGATAATATTTCTCGACGATTAAATTTCCAATAAACTGATGTATAAGTTTCAGCACATAAATGCATATTCAAAATAAAACAATATTTTGTACAAAATGTTATGTTTTAGAAATATATTGAAGTTCATTATTTTAAAATTTCACAAAAAAATGTATTTATTAAAATCATTTTATTACATTTTTGAATACATAAGGTAGGTAGATTTTAGGTATAAATTGAGTATTAAACCATCTACACAAACAGTATTGAAAGTATAACAAAGTGGAAGGTACTTACTTTTCAATAAAGTAATGATGAAAGTATTCTGAATTATATTTCAGAAAAGTTAAGAATAATTTTAATAGAAACTAAAAAAAAGTAATAAATTATTAAAATTAATTAATATTGAACAATTTCAACACACAAACTAATGCATTAAGCATAAATATTTGGACGATTAATGGCGTCCATAATCAATGATAACAGCCAGCCAATAGAAAACGTTCACCGAGTTGGCCACTCTCTTAAATATCAAGGCTCTCTAGCTGCTATCACACCAGTTTTCCTCTCTCTCTATATCAAGGCTCTCTAGATATGATTATATGACTATAGATAGTATCTATGGCCGCAAATTAAGGCTCGACATAATATAATGGCCAATGGGTATGCTATGCAATGCATTCACCATTTTGAGACTTATTTGTCAATGATGAAATGATAAAATAAAGACTGCCACGCGCTGCGCTATAACAATTTTTTTTTTACGTTTCTTAACAAAAAAAATCGAAAATATCCCCCGATTTGCTTTGTAAAACCACCTTGGGTAGGCCTCCGAATTAAACAAAGTTGTTATAGCCAGTATGTTAAAGTCACATAAGTATATTATAGTGGCTGCGAGGCTCCACGGGGCGTTAAGTAGTGTTGCGCGCATGCGTATGTAACCTAAAATTGCAAACTTTTGATGGCTATAACTTCCAAAATAATGGTTTCCGCAAATCGTTCTAGACTCGTTGAAATACGTATATTTCAAAGAAAAAATTTCAAAAATGTGCTGGGTAGCTACAGTGAATTTATGCCAAAATGTCGAATGACTGGACATTGTTCATTAATTTAAAGACCGGATTTATATTCTCTTAAAATACCCAAAATATGATGCTAATATTCTCTAAAAAACCTTAAAATATTCTCATTATATTCTCTCAAAAGTTTAAAAAATATGCAAAAATATTCTAAAATATGCAAAAATATACAATAATATGCAAAAACAATCAGCTTCAATTTGCACTAGTACTGTGTGTAGCTCCTCGAAATTAAGTATACTGTCTCCGATGCACCTTCGTAGATGGTATTTTGTTGATTTAACTCCGGCTTCCCGTAGGCCTCCAAAATGGGGGGCATGAGGATGAATAAATCGCCAGTCTATCTCTTCTTGGTGTGAGTATTCTAATATCCCCTTAGAGAATTATTGTTTAGGAACTCACCCAATATTCTGTTGGCTCCGATAAAACTTGTCCCATTGTTGGAATGGATTTGAATCGGCCCTCCTCTGCGAGATATGAATCTGCGCAGTGCCGCAAGGAATGTCACGCTAGTGAGGTCTGATACCAGTTCTAGGTGAATGGCACGAGTGCTAAAGCAAACGAAAAGTGCCACTTACGCCTTGGTGAGGACCCTGCTCCTTATTCCTCCATGCCTTATGGATATTGGACCAGCGTAATCTAAGCCTGTGACATGAAATGCTGGAGATGGGTTCACCCCGGCGGCTGGCAAAGATCTCATCAATTTGAGTCTCTGCCTTGATTTTGCATTTGCAGCACTTCATACACTTGAGCGTGTGAAGACGCACTGCATTTCGTCCACCGAATATTCAATATCGCCGCTGGAGTGAAGCCAATAGGTGTTGGGGTCCAGCGTGCATCAATCGTCGATGCTCGTAATCGACTAGCAGCCTTGTGAGTGGATCATCGGCATTGAGTATAATGGGGTGGGGTTCATCAAAACTCGCATGCGTATGTTGTAACCGTCCACCAACTCGCAGGATCCCAGCTGCATCAATGAATGGGGTCAGAGACCTAAGCTTACTGCTAGTTCGGATATGTTGACCACGAGCTAACAGGTTCATTTCTTCCAGAAAATACCGCTTCTGAGCCTGTTTTAGAAGTACATTCAGCGCGCCTTGAAGCTCGCCCGCAGTGATGGGTCCACACATGGATTCGTTTTTCGCGCGGCAATTGTACTTAAATCGCAAGCAACATGCTATTATTCGTTGTAGCCTTTCTAATTGGTTATACAACATTGCCAGGTTGAGGTCCGTAGATACCTTCAAGGAGATGGTGATTTGAGATCTGCGTTCAGGGATCTCTGATTCCAACATGGCAACTTCAGCGTTAGGCCATTGCTGTTCGTCTGCCTGGAGCCAGAGAGGGCCATGCCACCATGCGTTGCAATTTCTTAGTTTTTTTTGGATTTAAGCCTCGGCTGACATGGTCGGCCGGGTTGTCATTGGTGCCTACATGGTGCACTCCTGAATCTCTGCTACTCTGTTTGCTACAAACTGCTTCCACTGGTCGCTACCTTGGTGATTTTTTTAATCCATGGCAGGGCTATGGTAGAGTCACTCCAGATCACACGTTTTGAAAATGTAAGCGGTACAGCTGCGGTGATCTTGTTTGCGAGACGCGACGCCAGTAGAGTAGCGTATTGTTCAAGGCGTGGTATGGTGGTAACCTTTAGTGGTGCTACACAGGATCGTGATCATAACAGTTCACAGCTGATGACATTATCTCTGCCCTTGCTTTTAATGTAGACACAGGCTCCATATGCGGCTTCAGATGCATCGCAGAATATTTGCAATAGAAGATCAGTGGGTTCACTCACTTGGATTACTCGACGGGGTATTCGTATTTCCTTTACATATATCAAATGGTTGTAATACCCTTCAAATTTTTATAGTGGTCATCTGGTAGCTTGGTCTCCCAACCAATTTTTTCGCGCCACAGTTCACGCACAAGAATTTTGCTTGAACCACCACTGGCCCTATGAGCCCTAGAGGGTCGAATAATCTGGCCATTTCAGAAACCATTTTACGCTTTGTCCATGTGTTGGTGTCATTGAACAGTCTCATAGTGTAATGTATTTCATCGTCACAGGGTTGCCAATATGTGCCCAATGTTTTTGTTGAGCTGTTGTTTCGTTCGTGAGTGAACTTATGAGTTTCTCCGAGATCCTCCGGAAGGAGGTTTTTTAGAAGGGAAGGTTGGTTTGCTCAACACTTGCGGAGTTTAAACTTGCCGCCATCACATAATTGGATCAATCGATCTCGCAGTTCTAAAGCTTCTGTCAATGTACCAGCGCCGGTCAGCACGTCATCCACATAAAAATCCTTGCTGACGGATGTGGCTGCTAATGGGAACTTGAACCCGTCATCCTGAGCGAGCTGAGCGAGGGTTAGAGTGGCCAAGTAAGAGGCTAAGGAAGTGCCGTAAGTAACCGTTTGCAACGTAAAAACCTTTAAAGGTTGTTCCGGACTCTCCCTCCAAAATATCCTTTGAAGGTGAGTCTGTGATTCCATTATTCTTCTTTGTCGATACATTTTTTCCATGTCCCCGGTGAAGACATACCGGTGAATCCTGAACCGAGCAGTGATTGTAAAGAGATCGTCCTGTACCTTTGGTCCCCCCAATAATGCGTTGTATAGGGATGAACCTTTGGTACCTCTTGCGGATCTATTGAACACCACTCGGAGCTTCGTTGTTTCGCTGTCAGCCTTGATGACGCTATGGTGCGGCAGGAATACGTCCTGCCGATGCGCCTGGCCTGATGTAGGGTCTTCCTTCATATGACCAAGGTTAATGCACTCCCGCATGAAGTGGACATATTCCTTGTGTAGTTTGGGGTTGCACTGCTGATTGAAAAATGACAGATATTTCCGTATTGAAGGAAGTGAGGCGCTGGAACGGCTACTTTCCCATAAACGGTGGGATTCGACGTCTAATTTTTCTACCATTAGGTGGATGATTATGGCGTCCCAATGTTCTACCGGAAGTTTGAGGGCCGTCAACACTCGCAGGTGACTATTTATACCGTTCTGGTGACTTCTCAAAATGGCTGATGAAACCTTCGTTATTGATGGCATGCTGCATAGTGCGTGGATGTGCCCTCCGACCATTTTACGATGGTTGTCATATCGCTCACGCAGCTGCTCCCAGGCGGGTAAATAGTTCGCAGCTGTTGTCTCCAACGATTCGATGACTTGTGCCGCTTCATTTCGCAAAACGAGGTTTTGAGATAGTGCAATTTCTGAATGTCCGAGAGGTCCTTGTGCTTATGGACAAATGAATCAAATGTGTCCCGGTAATTCAGCCACTTTTTGTAGTCACCGTCAAATTCCGGCAATGAGATTGGCGGTAGTCTGATGGCTGATTCAGTGTTGGGCAGTCTTATATACTCTGCTGCGCTTTGGATGCTCAAGGTTTGGCTTTCTCTCCTTAGATTTGTTTGAGCTGCCTCAAGAAGAACCATAGACGGTGATATTGCTACGTAGTAGGCTGTTTCTACAGCTCAGCGTTCTGCCAGCTGCTCTCCATGGGAATCCAATAACTCTATCTGAGTTTGACCAGCTAGGAAGTCCCCGTAAGAAGCTTCAAGTCTCGTGGTTCACATGCTTAGTTCCATTATTGTTGATGCATCTGTGAAGTTGCCACTGTCAAAGAATTTTTGAAAAGCAATGATTTGCCTTTTCATAACTCCCCGACGACCGATGAGATCTTTAAGTTCGGCAGCCATTTTAATCCGGCCCGAAGATGACCAATGTTCCGGGAAAATAAATAACAGTGGACTGTATAATTTGGTAATTGGTTTTATTTTCTATGTAAATAAATTATTATAATTTATAGGTTGCTTGAAGTCTCTGTGCAAGTCTGCCTGGGTAGGTCTTGCCTCAGAGGCTCCGTTGAACACACTGCCCGTTTCATGCTCCGCACTGGCATTTATACCCTGGTATCGCCCTCCGCTTCGTTGCAGGAGCCGCCCATGAAATATCTGTTGTTGGTGATTGGGCGTGGTTGAATGGCAGTGATGACGCTGGTTGGCCGCTGCTGCTCTCGAAGCCACGCCCACAGCGTTCTGTCGTGTCGTGTGCTTATTTTTTCTTTTTTTTGACGAATACGCGGGTCATCAATAAGATTCGTTTGAGCAATTATGTAACTGTACATTATTGCAACCGGTGTCCTTTGTGACCGAACCGATCTGACCCACGCCTTACATAATACATAGATTCGGCCGATACAGTCGTACGTCTCCCGACGTCAAATGTGCTTGGTGCAGCATTTTATTCGTGACGATCGACTCACGATAGTGCCGACCGACTGTATTCCGAATCTCATCATATTATGCAAACAACTAGTTGGCTGACTGCCCAGTGTGATGTCAGTTTTACATAAATATAATACCATTAAGAAATATAATAAGAAATATTATAGAATAGATACTTCGCGTGGCGCGAACAGACATTGCTAATTTAATCAACACTCAGCTCATTGTTGATACATTTTCAAAAAAGAATAGGCTTATTACATTAATATAAAATAATAATACTTTTAATATGTTGTGTGTTATGAGTTAGGTACTTATGTAATTTATTATAATGACATCGTCATTTTATTATATATTTATTATGAGTAAGTATGCATAGCTTATTTTTACTGAATTAATAACCAGGTTACTTAAAACTGTACTGTAAAAACATACCTACCTACCTTATTTACAAACAATTTAATATTTTGTGCTTGTAACGATTCGGAATGTTTCAACGTTGAAAAGCTCCATTGTACGCTGGCAAGTTACAACTGTGACGGACAACGTAGTGCCAATTTTTAAAAATTGAAATACTTTAGGGAACAGTAACTCATCACAACAACTTATTGCATCTATAAAAGTGCAAGGAAGCTTATCTTCTGCTACTATCCATCTTTGTTTCCACAACAGAACTTCTTTATTTACTATATTAATATTGTCACATGAGCTTATTACGATTGGCCACTGTTTTGACATCACTTCCGTACTTGTCTCAATTCCATTTACTGATAATTTTATTAGTTTATTGGGTATAAAGTTCTGAATAATTGAGAGAGTATTTCTATGTTTATTAAATCTAATTAAAATTTTAAAAATGTTGGTGGAAGGGGGATTATCCCTCCCCTCCCCGTTAGTACGCCACTGCCATGTCATAATATCATAGTTACAAATGGTTAGCTCTCTTCCATCGACTCACCCCTCTTAGGCTCTCGAGTCTCGACGCGATGCCCCGCTTCGCATCTCGAGTCTCGACCTTCATTCACGTACCTCTGTACCCCCACTACCCCACTGTGATTCGTGTGTCTTTAACTTGACACGGCTTGAGTCCAACTACGACCGATACGAACGAGTTTAAATGTTTTCTTCGTCCCCTTGTAACGCTAACACTATGTGCTCAGCCGACGTTCCTCAGTCTTCCTACTGATTTCCTATACTATACTCAATTTTCACACGTTAACAAACTGTAGCTACCTCAATAATCGCAGTGTTGTTATTACCTCCATAATACATTTGCCGGCAGCGTGAGGGAAAGCTATCCCCATACCTCCTTCACGTCCTCCAAAATACTACCCATTTTGACTATAGAATATCGATTACGCTGTATAGGCAATAAGAACCACTGATTACCGCATTGACGGTATTGTACATACACAGAACAATATGATACATAATATTATATAAATGTATATATAAAATAATAATTTATTACACTTAATTTACAAATTTACAATTTAGTACAAATGGACAATGGTCAATGGTATATTTAATGTATAGATATTATCTTTATGGCTATATACCTATTGTATTTAAATAAGTCACTATTAAAGACTACCTATCGTTTGTCACTGGCTATTGTGGTATTTTCTTGGTCTTTTGTATCAAATCGTTCCACCGGAAATCAAAAACGCGATTTTATGCAATTACCAATAACGTTGATCGTTTAGTTGTGCTCGTCCGAACTCGATTTACAACGGGTATCATCACGTCCGACTCCATATCTGCTTTAGAAATAAAACAGTGCATCAAGTAGTAACTAGTAAGTAGTAAGTACACTGTACACACCCATGTGGCCATATATATAAAATACAGTGTAACTTCCATAAAATAACAAATTTCCAATTAACTCTCTATAATAAGATTTTATTGTATGCCCCATGAGACTTCGTAATATCGAAATTTCACAGTATTATACCTGATTTTCTTGCAGTCGGTATAGTAGGATATATTTTGTTGGAACGAAAAACTTAGGAAAATATTTTTTCTGAATTGTATTTATCTGGAACTATATTAATTTGGAAGCAACTACGTTCAGCTTCTTTAGTTTAAAAATTAGAGTGAATCGACGTATTTTGAAACTTCATGGTAGGTATTTGTATTTAGGTAAATTCTGATCCACCAAGATGCTATCAGCATTAAGCATGTAAGTACCAAACATTCCAAAATCATACATTTTTGATATTTTTAACTCAAAAACACGATTTTAGAAAAATCAAGCATTTTAAATTTTTTTGAGCATAACTTCAAAATTAGGTTTACTCTTTTTGAAAATATTAAATTATGCATGCAAAAACACATTTGAAAATAAATATTCCAAAAAATCGCTTGGGAGCTAAACTGCATTTATGCCGTTGATCACAAGATCGGAGATTGATTACCTCATATATCTACTAAAAAATGCACAGTCATTTTTATGTATACTTAGTCACTTAAACTAATTACAGTAAGTTCATAATTATCAGCTTAATAGATTAATGTTATTGGTTATATGTATATAGGGTGGCATCCGAAAACCGCACACTTTTGATTTCGACCTAAAAAACCGCGCACTTTATCGGTCATTGTATAACTAAACTTATTGTGGATTAAAACCGCACGTACTATTATTAGTATTTAGTGCTAAATAAAGGATAAGAATATAACTTATAAGATAATAAGATTATGATACTATACAATAATCATGCTAACACGTCTTTGAATCTTTTTTATAAAAATTTTATAAATCTTTTGAAATTTGAATACAAACATTTTTTTTGTTTGAATAAATAATACATTATACATACATTATACATTTACATTATAAAGTACATATTATTATAGTAAAGAACTTTTTGGGGTTAAAATCATAAGTGTATGGTTTTGGAATACAATAATTTTAAGAATTGTGCAGTTTTAACCAACCAAAAGTGTACGGTTTTGTCCTGATTTTATCTCAAGTGTACGGTATTAAGAGTCGACGATATATGGGATACCCTATAAAGAGTTTTCAAAAAGTTTGGGAACTGGCATTAGACTAATTAAGACTGATTAACGATAATATTATGATATAATTAATGAGGTGATGAAATATGTTCCCTAATAAATGTGCATCAGTGTTTCTGTTATTGCTATATTATTATGCAAGTACAAAAATATGCATACAGCAATATAAAAGTTTCCAAATTCGTTGAACCCTGTATAGTGTATATGGAGTGATTATTTAGTATGTATTCATTATTGTCGACTTAACGCCTTATTATGAGTCACAATATATGAAATTATTCAGCCATTCACTCAATCTAACATTAAGTATAGTTTCATTGTTTTATAACTTATTTGATTGCTTATTAATTATTATATACCAATTATAAAATGTTGATAACTATTTTTAAGTATACCTACCCATGACGTATTGCGGCATTTTTATTTATAGTGGTTGGGGGGGGGGGGGGAGGGGACCCTACAATACTATGTGCACATTAAACAATTTATAATGTGACAAAGGTATAATAGGTAGCCAGGTAGGTACCTACTATAGACCTGCAAGGGCCGTACATTTTCGGCCCGGCCCGGTCCAAAAAAAATTGTGAAAAAAAAGCACTGGCCCGGTCCGAAAATAATGCTAAGCTCGTAAAAAGCCCAGTCCGATCCATCAATTTTATCCTCAAGCCCGACCCGGTCTGGTCCAAAAAATATTGTGGAAAAAAAATATAATATTATTATGGTATATAAATAGCTTTATTATACCCACCAATCAATATATTATTATATTCATTGTGGTTGTATCCATAGAGTATACTCTATATCAGGGGTCACCAACTGGCTGACCGCTGTCCGGATGCGGACCTCGAGCACTTTTTTTACGGACCACGAGCGCGTTTTCCATTGTACATTAAGTTCATACGCGCCAAACCGGCGAGGGAAACGTGCCATCGCCGGAGTGACGCGTATGAATTGACCAATGTAAATTAAAACGCGCGCTTACGATACGTCGCGTATGATACGCGTCCATGTGAAACGGGCCTTATCCACGGAATAGTTTTTATCTAGTTTAAATCCGATAATAAATAATAAGATAAGATCGTAACGTCGAGCATCTGTCTAGTGTCTACGTAGAACGCGTGTATAAGTCGCAGTAATCCGTATGCCCCGCGAAGCGACAGACGAGCTCCGAGTATAGATAGTGTTCATAAGTTCAAACCGTTTACTGCACTGTGTGTGTTGACGTTCTGTTCGTGAAAAAAGAAAAGTAGAAGCTGAAAATCGACAGTTTCTCACAGAATGGACTGATTTATATTGCTTTACATTATCTAACCGTGTTGGAGCTTTACCTGTTTGTTTGATTTGTCAACAAACAGTAGCCATCATCAAAAGTTCAAATCTGAAAAGACATTATGAGTCTAAACACAAATCATTTAGTGAAAAATACCAGGTAGGAAGTAATCTTCGTAAATCCAAAATTGAGAGTTTATATTTATCTTATTCAACATCGACTCAAATTATTAACAAGGTAATGAGTGAACAAGAAAAATGTACAGAGGCTTCTATGCGTATTTCATGGATACTTGCTAAACACATGAAACCGTTTACCGATGCTGATATAATCAAAGAATGTATGATTGAAGCTGGAAATGCGTTATTTGATAGTAAAAATTATATTATGGAGACTATTCGAAATATTCAGTTATCTACGTCTTCAAATACTCGAAATACAGAACTATTAGCAAAGGAAAATCATTCTAATTTAATACAACCTTTATCGGCCACGGGTTATTATGCTTTAGCTATGGATGAATCGTGTGATAAGACTGATACAGCTCACTGCTCAGTTGTGTATTTTTGTATGATATTTCGACAATACCAGTGAACAGTTTGTTGAAGAAATATTAACTATTTTACCACTGTTAGGGACCACTTGTGGTGAAGACATAATATATAAAGCTGTTATAGAATATTTCGAAAAATATAAATTAGATATGAAAAAACTTATTTCATTAACAACAGACGGCGCCGCACCATCGATGATTGGAAATAAAAAAGGTTTTGTTCAGAGACTAATTAATAATCCGAAATGCAATAACAAGATAATATCTTATCACTGCATTATCCATCAAAGTGTGTTGTGTTGCAAGTTAAATTTAAATCTCGAAGCTACAATGACACAAGTGATCAAAATAGTAAACTTTATTCGAGCCAAATCATCATTGAAGCATCAAGCATCATCAATTTAAATCATTTATCGATGAAGTTAAATCACAATATGGTGATTTACAGCTATACAATAATGCTGGCGCGGATCTAGAACATATTTACGGGGGGGGGGGGGGGCATCTTAAATAAATTTCTGCCTGATAAAAATATTGTACATACTATGTAAGCTAATAGGCAAATATTATTATTTAAACCCAGTTTATCAGTACAATAAAATATATAAAATAATTTGATTTGGCACTACGCTTTGACATTTTAATAAAATAATAATGCAACCTATACACGTGTCACGTTTGATGTTGATTATCGACAGCGGCTGTGTGCGTATTGTATCGATTAGATTAGCTTTTTGGCGGTGACCGGTAAAAACGGACACGGCCGAAACGCTATCGGCAAAACAATACATTTTATCGGCTGCCGAAAATAGATATAATAGAAAATCCACCAGTCCTTGCCCCCCCCCTTGGATCCATGCCTGCAATAATGTAAGGTGGTTGAGCAAAGGCTTTGTACTTCAAGGATTTTTCGCAATATTGGACGAGATAGATCAAGTTATTTCTTTCTAGCAGTGATCAATTATGTGCAAAAGACTATTTAGATTTCCTTGAAATAAAAGAACATGTCATATCTATCGCTTTTTTGACAGATATATTTAAACATATCAACGATTTAAATTTCAAACTACAAGGTAAAGGAAAATTAGTGTGCCATCTACTGTCAGAAATCAAATGTTTTTCAAGGAAAATGGATCTCTTTTGTGAAGATATAGAAAACGAACGTTTGCACTTTCCTAACTTAAATACTGTTTTTGATGACGCTGAAGATAATAATGATATTGACCTCAATCAGTTCATTAATTTTATAAAGAAACTTAAATCTGAATTTGAAGATAGATTTACTGATTTCAAAAAAATTGAGAATGTAGTGCAAATTTTGAATAATTGTTTTTATTTACATCCCAACGGCTTATGGAGTAGTGAAGCCACAAGCGTTTTTGGCTCCAATATAAAGTTGCCCTACAGATGGAGATAATCGAATTCCAGGAAGACTTATGAGTTTAAAGGAAAAATGTATTCAAGTCACCAACACTTTACAGTACGATCAATTCTGGATGAAATACGTTTGTACAAGTAAATACCCAGAACTAAAACGCCTGGTTTCAAAACTGTGTACAATGTTTGGATCAACATATGTTTGTGAAGCAGCTTTTTCTAAGATGAACTTCATTAAAAACAATTTCAGATCTCGGTTAACAGATGAACATCTTAACGAGTTAATGCAAATCAGTTGCACCAACTTCACACCAAATATTAGGAAGCTCTTGAAAACTAAATAATGTAATTTTTCACATTAAAAATGAAATATTTCAAGTATAATCTTTTTTTTTTTTGCAAATTCAATTTAAATAAATAAATAAATATAAATACAAATTTAAAAATGTATATACCTATTTATTAACGTGTGTATAATACAATTTGAATAAATAAATAAGTATAATCACAAATTTATAAATTATAAATACCTATTTATTAACGTGTGTAAAAGTCATTGAAACTGTTTGGACCGCGTCAAGTTTGGTAAGTTTCAAAACGGACCCCCATAGAAATTAGTTGGTCACCCCTGCTCTATATGTATCTATCTGTACCAACGTCGGTTTTTATCATTATTATTTATTATTTTAAATTGTGGTTATTGTCGAAGAAAAATCCTTAAAAAGCCCGGTCCAACCCTTTATTTTATTTCAAAGGCCCGGCCCGGTCCAATGTCACTACGGGCCGGGCCGGTCCGGCCCTTGCAGGTCTTTAGTACCTACTATCGAAATCTGAAGCATGCTGCGTCTGCCGCAACCCGCGGTTGGCTCCGCTCGTGTTTATTCGTGGGTTGATCGGTGGTGGTCGCGGTAGTGGCGTGGACTTAAATAGCAAGCCCAAGTCGTCACGGACCGTGGCCAACTTTGGTACTGGCATGTAGTCGACAGACCGAAGCTCGTGCATTTCGCCGGAATCTGCGTCCGTGATGTCCAGTCCCGAGGGCTGGGCTGACAACTCCGGGAAGAAGTCTGCGTACGGGTAATCGTAGTCCTCGCCGATGTCCGCTGCAGCAGACGTGACCAACAACAGTACTAAGTAAGCTTCAAAGTCAGACTTGCCCATAATGAATATATACCCACGTTCGCGGGGCGAGCCGTAATCAGTATATTTTGTATTAGAACCACCGTGGTATATTGATAATTTATAAACAATAATTAATGGTAAATGATAACGATCAAAATTATAGTAATATTATAATAAAATGTATATCCATATAACCTAATTATAAGTTTATTATTTTGGTACTTTCGTCGAACTGATTTTTGTTTGTTTTATCCGTTAGTTTTTCCTCTCTATTCCCGTTACCTAGATGCTTTTTAAATTATAAATTAAATTATAATCAACCGTCAACCGCATGTTTAGATAGTTTAGTACGTTTAACGTTATTGATAATATATTATGTATTATTTATAATTTTTGTTTCGTAGACTCCTGTTCAGTATCAAAAATAAAATGAATACCTCTTATTTTACTAGGCCGGAGGGCTAGTCAAAAATAAAATGAATAGGTACCTATTATTTTATTTTAACTATTTGTGTTATATCAACTTATATGAAATATTTATATTTTTAATTTAACACTTTTGAAATAAATTCGTCAATTTTCATGGGAATCGTACCTAAATAATTTGATTTCAAATCAGTTTGTACCATCTGTATACTCTGTTCAATGAGAGAACGCACGCGCACCGACCAAAACTGGTTCCCCCACTCAACACCTGCCATAGGAGAACCGATTTTGATAGCATTGTGACGTGGGGATGCGCATAATTGTGCGTTCTCTGGTTGAACAGAGTATACTTTAATAATTTTGAAAATGTGTCTAGTGTACACTGTACCACATGTTTCTATATCTTAAATATTTCATTAGAAAAAAATACTATATAATATTTAACAACATATTGTTAAATAAATTAGTAAATATTTTTATAAAATTAAATTAAAACACGTAGGTAGTAGGAGGTACATATTAGTTTTACAACCATCTCTCATAGTTTTACCAATCTGACAATTTTTTAACGACCAAAAATTAAGCAGTATGATTATTTCTTATATATTTGAATAATATTGTAAACTATGTAGAGTTGGACAGAAACATATTTTTTCTTACTAATTGACTGAAATTTGTTAAATAAATCCCAACAAAACATATATGTAAAATGATAGCCACTAGCCAGTTCAATTATGTAATACATGCTTTGATTGTTGACTTCAACGACAAAAGAAGTGAGATCTAAATGGATGCCAAGTTCAATGGTCAGTCCTGAAATTTATTTATAACAACATGAAATATAATTTCTTCTTATCACTTAGGATAATGTTTTGAAGCCTAAGGTCTGACTTGGCTAGTTTCCATATTTTACGAATTATCATCAAGTACCTACTAAAACAGTCATGGAAGAGCACTATGTTCGATAGCTAGTTTCTAATAGCAAGCCAAATTTTTAGAAGAATAAAAAAGAACTCCCAACTTTTTAGAACTTGAGAAGGCTATAACATAATTCGTATATAGAAACTAGCCAAGTCAGACCTTAGGCTTCAAAACATTATCCTAAGTGATAAGAAGAAATTATATTTCATGTTGTTATAATTAAATTTCAGGACTGACCATTGAACTTGGCATCCATTTAGATCTCACTTCTTTTGTCGTTGAAGTCAACAATCAAAGCATATATTACATAATTGAACTTGGCTATCATTTTACATATATGTTTTGTTGGGATATCATTACTTTTTGTATGTAAATTTTTAATAGCTATTTATTCATAATAAAATTATTTCCAAATGGTTTTTATTAAACTATTGTATTGTATTTATATTATATTATTTATATTATTTTTACAATAATTTACCATGACGTATTCTATAAATAAAGTTTATTACTAAATACTATAATTCAGTTACTAACGTATAACATTAATAATATTTATTATAAAATATTTTCTATTGTATATACAGAGTATAAAATATATGTAAAATTAATATACAATTATTTTAACTCTTTTTGAGTATATTTTTAATTATCATAATTTTATTGACTGTAGTTTCTACTGTTGGGTGGATAATTCATAATTTGTAAGAATAATTATTTAATTATTTTAATTGTAATATTTAAAAAAAATAATATTAATTACATACATAGATAGAAAAAAAAGTATGTTGCTGCGCAGCGGGTCAACAATATCGACACATATTCGGCTAGTCGTATTTTTGGAGCGGCGATACGGGAAAGGTTATTTAAGTCAACATTACATTACATTACATTAAATTAGAGGCAATTCATTAATTAATTGAAAAATTAAACATAATAGATAAAATAATTGAAAATTATAATAAAATCAATTGATTAAAAAATTAAAAATTTTCAAGTTTCTGATTTTTTCCTTTGTATTTACCTAACTACCTATCTGTATGCCAAATTTGAACTTTCTAGGTCATCTGGAACTGGGTTAGAATTTTGATCTATAGGTCAGTCAGTGATAAAAATGACGATTTTCGGACGTTAATATCTAAATAACGGTTTGAAGTGTGTTTATGAAATTTAGAGCACATATGTATCTCGTTAGTCTCAATATATGAGCCAAATTTGACATGTTTATGTGGAATAGTTTTTGAGTTATGAGGGGGTCAAAAGTGGCTCCAAATGGTTCGTGTAATATTACACACGGTGCTGCTCACCAGTTCTGTTAGCTAGAACTTGGCTTGACACGCTACCGAGTGTCTAGATAAAAAAAAGGTGGATAAGTGGATTTCGCTCTGCTGTACAGTGGGCTACAAGTGGGTCAATGTATAATGGATGGTATTAAATTTGAATTTAATGATATATTATCATTGTGTATGAAAAACGATTCAGAACGGTAACGGTTTGTCAGTGTGGATATTTTATATTATATTTATATTGTTATTACTTATTATTATTACAGTAGCCGGTAAGTTGAATTAATATTATAAAATTACAACAAAATAACTAAAATCAATATTCTTTTAAATTGTCCGCAAACAGCTCAAAACAAGCCACAATATTTTTATAATATTTTGGCTATTATAAATTTTAAGTGTAAGGTTATTCGTTTTTGAACTACAACAAAATAAGAAAATCGCTAGATGAGAAATCGAGTGAATATCCAATGTTATAAAAATTTGAACTTCAAATGCTCCTAAAAATTTAATTTGACTTTCTTAGACAATTTTTTTTTTTTGATAAAGGTAGATAACCTTAAAAGGAATCTTGTATTACATTTTAAAATCTTAAATTAAACAAAAAAACACATCATTGTAAAATCAATACATTCATCCGCTCAGAATCTTAAATAATATGAAAAAAAATTTAATTTGTTAATTTCTATAAATTTTTTGCGAACAATTGAGCAGGACTGTAGAAGTTAATAAATAACAGCCCTAAATATCTATTAAAAATTGAGTCTATAGTATTTGGTTTTTTTTTCTTTGTAGATTTCCCAAACATACAATTAGTGTTGTTTTTTTAGTTATTGGTGTGTATCAAATGAAATCATATTTTTATTCGATCATGGATAATTGTACAGTTCAAGTCTCAAGATGCATATTCGATCTTAAAAGAAGGATTCTTGTAATAATAACATTTTATCACGATAAGAGAAAAAGAATTCAAATACACATATTTAATTGCTTGTGCTAATTTAAGTAGTCACTTAAAAAATACTATTTTCACTTTTCTCAATTTGTATTTCATTTTTCATTTTTTGAGTTGCAGCCCTGAGTTACATATTATGTGTTTAGTTTTAATGTTGGATTTTGAAATTTGTTAAAATTTTAAAAAATTATAAATTATTCTGGTATTTGATAAGGAATTTCATCTGAGGCTCTGGTTGCAAATGCTATAGTTGCTTAAATAATTAAATGTTTTAATTTATTGAACAATTATAATTTCTATGTTTCCTTAGGTATTAATTTTGGTTTCTGTCTCGAAACATTATAATATGAAGGCTACAAGTGAAAAAAACAGTTTTCGAAATATAGTGACAAAAAGTGACTGAGTTGCAGCTCTGGCACTAACGGTTTGTTATGTGTCTTATATTAGGGTGTTCTTGTGACATGTGTATGTATTTTTTTCAATAGCTGTAGTGATAATATAATTAATTATGACGTAGGAATGCAGGAAGTAAGTTTAATGATAGCCATGGAGGCAGTGGCGGACTGGCCCAGGTGGAGAGTGGGAGAAATCCACCGGGGCCGCTGTCGTGAGGGGCCCCTTCGTTATGGTGCACTTTTAATAAAAATATATTTTATTATAATTTTATATTCGATTTCTAAATTAACAATATTAGATAATAACACACAAAATACACAATCCTGGGGCACGAATATTTCTACATAGCTTATCAGCATATTATGAAAATAATTTTCCCTGACCCGCGAGACGCACCTCACCATAATATTATTATAAGAAGTCATGAGCTGTAATTAGAAATAACGAAATTCCCGTAGGCCGCCGTCCGCCGTTGTCCGACGACCGACCGTCGACCAATATTGTTTTGTTTATATAATTTATACTGTATTACCTATCTTTATCGTCAATACTTAATGGTTATACGTTAGTTAATTGAAAACATTGAACGAGTGTAGAGAGCAAGTGAAATTAACAATCAAAAAATTGCGTGTCTATGTGTAACTTGTGTAGTTGTGTACTTGTGTATATATTATGCATAAAATGTTGAATTTATAAATTTAAATTTAAAGTACCAAATAAATTTTTGTCTCAGTAATATCTAAATATAGACGTAAAGAAATTATATAAAAGATTTTAAGTATTAAAAATGATATTATATAATATTATGAATTATATGATATTATTTATTCCTAGAATATATTGGAGGAGCTAAACACCCTTAGCACCCCCAAAATTTTAGCTTATGATAAGCGAGCTGCAAATTTTTTGATCATACAAAAATAAATTGTGGGCCGCTCAAATCTTCTCCACCCGGGCCGAAGTACTCTCAGTCCGCCCCTGCATGGAGGAATATCTAGTCAAAAGTCAGTGCTAGACGAGTGTGGAAGCAGGTGATTAAAACGAAGGAATAGTAACTGTTTTCCGCACATTCCAGGAAATAGTAATTTAGTTAGTATTAACTATTAAACTAATTATTAATTTAGAAATAAATTATAAATATATGTAGGTCAATAAGTATAGTTGAATAGTTAATAATATACGAGTATAATGTAACTCGTAACATTAGTTACACCCTACATATATATTATTCGATACACACACTATATAATATACAAGACCAATACAAAATTACAAAGTATACACATTCAACACTTTTCAAATTATTACTTTTTATAATAAATGACACACGGCAGTTAGTTCGACACTAACTATCAACAATAGCAGGGAACCTATATCTAGTAAAGTACTATTTCAAATATAATAATTATTATAGATCTATAAATCAAATGTATCTTATTATTGATAAAAAAAAACCCTCATACACAGTGCTCTAACAACCAGCTACGGGAAATCTTATCCATCTTAAGGAATAGAAAATTTTATCTGAATAACTATAATATTGCGTATCAAGGTTTTCCCGACTATGTTGCATATTTGTTGCGGAGTCGCCGGGTATGTCCCATATGGCCATATCTAGCGGCTGACCTATTGTACTGCTTCGAGCACTTAACCCATCAGTGAACACTTAACTCATGTACAAATTGGTTGTTGACTATTTTTTTTTTACAAAATCCATTACTTTAACAAATCTTATTAGCTAAAATAATTAATCATTAATTACAGTTGAACATAATATAGTAGTCAGTTTTACACTTTTACATATTATACAAGTATTAGAAACTGCTTGATTAAAGTGGCAAAGAGTAAAAACAAATAATAATAAATTGGTTCTTTTATTTTCTGATTTTTTCTGTATAAATAATGAATTGTACAGAATTCTATATTGAACACTATACATTAAAAATTATTAAACAAAATACTCGGTACTACATAGCACAATATTATAAAATATCGGGGGAAATGTATTAATTTAAATAAACATAAATAATTATTAAATAACAATAAAATTTTAATTTTTTTTTCAAAGGGTTCTCTATCTATTTAGGTACAAAAGATATCTAAAGATACCACATCATATTGATTCACCTACTAGATCCTAATGAAAAAAAAAATTAACAAAAACTTATAAAGTAATTTTTCTAACTACTATTTTGTACAAAATAGAAAAGAACAAAGTTAACACTTAAGAAAATAATAAAGTAAATACAATACTTAAAATGTAATAATGATAATAATAATGATAATAATAATAATAATAATAATAATAATAATAATAATAAAAAATATTTATGTATTCGAAAGATCTTTCTTGTGGGAACTTACATGGGGACATCATAATAATAGTATTTTATTATGTTATATTATTTACAAAATAGTTTTAAGTCCGAAAACTGTTAACAATGCTGGTATTCAGAGTAATCGTTTTAAAAATCAAAGTATCAATTTATGAAAAACAATGAAACTTTGATTAAAGCATAAATTACCACGAGTATCAGCTTTAAAACAGGTGTCATATATATTAAACAATTGATCTCAATTATTAATTAATAATGTTTATAAATACATACATTTTGAAAGTAAAAAATTTTAATTAATAGATTCTGTTTTGTTTTATATTTATATATAATATGCTACGTGTAAATTAATGTTTATAGACTAAGTCACAATAGTCATAATATTAGATTGGAAATAATTATCACAAAAAAATGTTCAATAAACGCTAGATAAACACCTGGAGTTTTTCTACTACACCTAATGAACACCGAAACGATGAAATTCTCATTTTGCATTATTTACTAGTATATAACTTCGTAAACAGTTGCTTTCTTATCTCCGGAACCAGTTACGATATATTTATCGTCGGCCGATATGTCACAGCTCAACACTGAAGAAGATTCTTTAGACTATAAATTCAACAAAAACAAATATATGAGTACAAATACTAAAATAAAATAATGATTTTCAAATAAATAGAATAGTGATGCTCACTTGGAATATGGAAGCGCCATACGGTGTGCGCCACGCATTTAGCAAATTGTCTTTGCCTGTCGACACAAACCATTTACCGCAAGTCGCAAAGCGCAAGGATAGCACACACGACTCGTGCAGATGCAGTTGGTACTTGTCAGGTTTGAGGGCGTGCAACACTTCGACGTTGGAGTTCTCCATGCCGACGGCCAACCATTCGCCAGTCGGACAATAACCCAGAGAGAATATCTGTGCGATAAACATTAAAAAAAAATCGGCAAGTGTTATAATATGGCGACTTGTAAGTATAGGTACATAGTACAGGTAGGTTTAGGCATAAAAAACGGATGTAACGACACGATGTCATGTGAGAGACGTACCTGTGATGAGAAATCGTGTTGCTGTAGCTGTCGGCCTTCTCTCAGGTCCCAAGAGCGGACGGTGTTGTCCAGACCACCGGTCCATAGTTTTGAACCGTCTGAAGAGATGTCTATGCACGACGCTCCGTCCGTGTGCCCTTGGAACTGTCTAACCAACGTCTGGTTATGTAAATCCCACACGGCTATGTTGCCGTCTGAACAACAGCTGAAGCACACCTGAGGAGGATATGGGGAAAAAATATATATTATTTGATCGGTGAACGAGAAAAATCAATTATTGGTGCCGATCCTCTCGAGAACGGCTGCAAACCGTCATCATAGCACATGACATTCTGCGCGTACCTTAGAATCCGGACTGATGGCCAGTGCGTAGCACGCTGGGGCGCTGGACGTAAGCTCGGCTTTTATTCTCGGCGTGGGGGATGCCAGATCCCATATGCTCAAATTACTGGCTTCTCCACCGACGATGAGCGTTCGGCCGTCTGGCAATAGTTTTACAGATCTTATATAGTTATCACGTTGCTGCAATCAAAAAGTAACAAAACAACCATATTATTAATGCACAAGCGACTCACTGACGGTAGGTACCGGAAACACAATTTATTAGATATAACATTTACCACCGCAAAATATTGATATTATGTGTACATTATACACGCATTACATGAACGATCTTGGAGTATTGAAATTCTTAAAAATTTCTTTGATTTAAGATTCTAATATTTTTTAATTAACTATTTGGCATTTAAATTATTGGTACATTATTTTTACAACGTTCCTTGCTCGGATATAATTTTGTTAAAATCGTCACACTAACTCATTTTTTAAAATAACAATAATATTATAGTATTTTTCTTAAAAACCAAAATTATATAAATATTTTGAAACTAAGTCATTCTTCCCCTCAAAACACGTCCTCTTATAAGTTTGTATATATTATTATACGTACCAAGCAGTCTAGTTGAGATACGGGCGACTTGGACCCGGGTTGACTGATGTCCCACACCTTTACGCAGCCCTTGCCACCGGTGTAAACGTACTTGGTAGGGTTGCTGATGGTCACAGCACACACGACTTCGCCGTGCCCGAGAGTGTTGATTTGACGGGCGTGTCTCGGGATGCCGGGACCCATCAGTGCGTCGGGTGGAAAGGGCACCGGTTGCATTTGGCCTTCGGCGCTCACGTGAAACGAATACGCTCTTGAAATAAAAAAAAAAAATCAATATTAACGTCGATCACCTTTAAACAGCGCATGGTGTAGCTGGGTATGCCACAACATAGGTACTTCACGACTCCGTGTAAGGACCATAATTTATATTTATTTTCTTGAAAGCTCTATTTTTCTTAGAGAACTCAATATTACTATAACATACAATTTTACTTTCGTTTTCAAAAAATGGCTCAGAAATAGCTGTTACCCGAATAAGTGATGGCAACGAGTTAAAAATGCTAATGCAGGAAATAATGGCGACTTGAACTTTAATCAACAGATATTTTTTTGTTAAAAGTTACAATACAATTTTTTTGTAGAGTAAGACCCAATATATTTTGTTTTGCATATCCTGCCAATGATGTCTGAGTATATAATTTGGGTGTGTCCAACATGAGACGTTTAGTTATCTGAAAACTTATCTGCAGCAGATATAACGATGGGCCTAAGCGACAGTTAGGAGTTATACGCTATAGCATATTATATGGCTGAATAATAGGAAATGAACTCTATATAATATTGGTAGAAGTTTTACTATTTTATAATAATTATATAAAGAAACATTTAATTTACAAATTTAAGATTTTTATGATACTACCTACATGTGTAAAAAAAATGATTTTGTTTATCCTGAGAACCTTGAATAACGTCGCTTAGGCTCTTTTGTTGAGTAGCCATCGATATCAAATACAATACACACATAATTTGTTCAATATTTTTATCGAGCTTAATTGTTTGACGACTTTTTGCTAGACACACCACATACGTATTCTAATATACCATGTTGCACATATTATTTATCACCAGTTTACTTACGGTTTTCCGCCGGGAATTCCCAGCCCAGGTCCGAGGGGTGCTCTCATTTGTGCGTGAGGATCGTAACCGACCTACAAAACACGTCGTTGGTTAGAAATTATTAATGTCGAGTGCATATAACACACTGCATGCACGTTTATTGATTAGGTAATCATAATCGCTGTCGATTGTAATACTCACCAACGCCGGCCTGGGGTAACTGTTTAACGCAGCCGATGGTGGTAAATTGTTGTGAAGTGCACCGTAAGCGCCTGCAGCAGCCGCGGCCGCTTGAAGATCGTGCGGATTTGCACCCCCGGCCAGATAATGTGGGTATTGGGCTGCAAAACAACGAGGACAATTAGTTGAATGAAATATAATTTACGGTTCGATCTCCGATCGAATCACAATCATTCGCGGTTTCTCTTAATACCTAGCGAAGGTCCTTTGACTCCCATGGGTTTCATCGAGGAGCCGGCAGCTCCACTACAACCGCTGCCGCCGCTCGTCGGTGTGATCGACTTGGATATCGGCGTGCTGGGTTTATCTTCCATCTTCTTGGTGGATGGAGTGCTGGCATTGGACGAAGTTCCGCTTCGCGGGCTGTAATAAATTACAAATAAATTATAAATAAATGAGTGAGTAAATCCGTTGTTGAAACAAATATAATAATATATACAATATACATATTACCTACGTATATATACGTATACTCTAATAACGCATAACAATAATAATATATAAAACATTAATATGCTAATAATACCTGTGTGGTCCAATGTGTTCCTTTTTGGGTTGTAACTTGTCAATTCCGTTTTCTCTGGGCGAGGCTGTACCATTAAGCGGCGAGACGGGGTCCTGTGAAACGGAATATTATATACATTATGTTAATACCTGCAGCGACATTGTTCGCGGCTATTATTACGAGGTTTCGTTATCCTATTATACACAATACTTTTTATGTATTTTTTTTTCAAACCAGACGTATTATTATTAACTATTGCTCGTTTGAACCCAGTTAAGTAAAATATAATGTAGTAGGTACCTACGCAAAATTATAAATATACAACAGTTTGTAAGCGAAATTCTTTTTTTATGTAACACAAACATTAGGTGCAACGAATTACAATGCAAGTCAAGGTATTAATTGGTAAAAAAAAAATATTTATTATAGAATTTGATACACTAAGTAGATATTGAAGCTTAAAAGGGCACGTATACGATTTTCGAAAGATTATACAGGTTTTAAAAAGTGGTTTTACAACTGATTACTGTAAACGGTTATAAAGCTAACTGATAAGATAAAGTTTCACTAAGTATATTTGGTATTCTCCCTCTCAGCATCAGAGAATAAAAAAACTTGTGACCGTATATTTTTTAACGGAACAAGGAGCAAATTATATTATGTATAAGTATAATATAACATACCTCACTGGCATCGTCGACTACCAAGTCTTGATCGCTTTTTTCACCATCGCTCGCCTGTAAACGATAAAAAAAAAGATTTAATAATACGTTTGGGGGGAGCGTGTGATGAGTAAACGGAGTATAAAAGCTTAATGGTCGGTGAAAAAGTTTGGCGAAATGTTATATCATCGAGTTACACGCGCATGTGGTAAATGTGTGCGACTCAATGTGTATAATATATAAGTAAAAGAGCTGAACTTACGTGACAATCTTTTTCTTCTTTTTTCACTTTTTTGTGCGGTTCAATATCCGGTGAGCTCCTGACGCGAAATTTCTCCCTTTCCGCAGGTGATATAGAACTCCTCTGCGTAAACAAAATGAAAATAAACCATGAGAATAATAATAAAAAAAATTTAACCAAACATTTCTGTTGTTGTTGTACTCGTCGTTGGTAGGTATGTATGATAAACCTTACGTAGGTAGATCATACACACACACAAACAACTATATATAATGCAGTGTGTGATTTGGCCGCTCGTTAAAAAAAAAAACCAGGTAACCAAATATTTGAATGGAACGTATATATAATATTATGTGGTTTTATCCGTCGTCGTATGTCGAGGGTTGTAGGAATGTGTGTATCGTGGGGGAATATAACATTTGTCGAAGTGAATACGAGCAAGAAGATCCGGGAGGGTGATGTGCGACGGCGGGAAATAAATAACGTGTGTCATAAAAAAAGAAAGACGGAGAAAAAACATGTGGCGCGTTGGTCGTTTTTCGCCCCAGACCCCCCGTGGTATACTCACACGCACACACACGCGCACGCGAGCGAGCGCGTACCCTAAGGACCCAATAAAAACATTCCCCACCCGCGTCCCCGTACGTACAAGATAGTTAATCCAATTCCCGGGAGCCATAAACTGGCGAGTGAGGAGATGGTGGGTAGTATATACCCGTACAGTGTACAAGCGTATAATGCGTGTATATACAATATATATATATACTACACGACTTTGACGACGACGAGAACTACGGCAGAGGCGAGGGGGTGAAATAAAATAAACCTCTGGCGCGCGTTCGCCGACGCGAGAGGGGAAAAAAATAGAGTCAATTCCCCGGGGGCGCTAGAAGGCCAATTGCCGGGTGTGGTGTTAATTGCTTTTGCCCGAGCCCAAATCCCGACGAGAATACGATGCGATAGTTAATTTATAGAGACACGTCCTGCAGCAACAACGAGACCAACTGCGTTGTATAAATTTCGTTAAATTGAAACATTTTACGGCGGTTCGCCGCCCTTAATCGAGTCTTAAATATACATGGTATACACATATATTACACTATAAGTTATAACGTATATAGAACATAGGTGTTATATACATACGTCAGCACGATTAATTCGTTGCGGCCCCGCTTTCGGTTTTCCGAGGCTCGCGATGAAATCTATTGGAAGGGTCTTTTTTTTCTTATCTTATAAACTCATCTACCGAAATTCGTTTTTAACGAACACAAAAACCGACAGTAATAACAAAATCGATTGTGAAAACATTATTGTAGAATTTTCGGTCTGCTTCTTCCAAGGAGGGAGATTTTTAAAAAAATTTTTTTGTTACAAAGAGACGTCGCTCATTATAAGAAAAAAACGAATTTCCTACTCAAAAAATGTGTTTTATAATGCATATATATAAGTGGGTAGGAAGTTTTAAACGACATTATTGCTACCTTTATTGATAGTATATATACACAACACTCACTTAACCCTCTAGACAGTCTTCATCACAGTCAATTAAGTGCGCGAAAGTTCGCCATGTTTTAACAAATTTCAATTATGAATATAGTTTTACAAATTACTCGGGCTGCTAATGACGACGACGCAGAACGTTAATGAAAATTTAATTTTAATTGAAAAGTATCCAACATTTATGCCCGTCGCCCCATCATAACTTTTATTATACTTATATTAAATACACTGTATAATACTGAATATCAAAACGTGTACGAGATTTAATTAATTGATCGTCAAATAAAAATCAAACACGAAATTGAATATAATACTACTCGATAATTAATATGTATTCAGATTAACTACTAGCTGTAAAGCGGTGAAAATGGTTTTATTGCAATTCAATTATTTTGAAAAAATTAATCAGTGTTTTTTTTGTATTGTTTTATGTAAACACGCAAAACATAACAAAATTGCTTTTCGGGAACACTAAAATATTAGACACATTCATAATATAGTGAAATGTGAATGACACATGTGCGTTTGGTATGAGTGATAATTAATACGATATCGGTGGCGTCGAGAAAATCGTATATTATGTAAGTATACATCGTAATGAAAACGTGAGGATTCAGAGGCGTCAGGAGGGATGGCGTGGTGGCAGGGTATATAGAAACGCCGTCGATGTTTTCTTGCGGCTGCGAAGCGAGCAGAACCGCCACCGCCACCGCCGCAGTAGCAGCGGCATACAGCGACGGTGCAGTGTGTAATATAACTTCCGAGACAATTGACTATGTCTGGTGAGCGGGAAGTGAAGAAGCACGGCAGCAGAGGCGGACGAGAAAGCTTTTACCGTATACTCGCAACGAGTGAAAACGAGGTAAAGTGCGAGGGCGGAAGAAGGCGCGCGCTCTACGAGGTTGTTGTTGACGGTGGCGGCGGCGGCGGCGGCGGAACCGCGGTTCTCGGTTTAAACTTCATCGAGAACTAATCGGCCGTGTGTAACGCGCCTCCTCACCCACCGGTCCAGGCGGAGGGTAAACTTGCACAGCATCTCGCATATACTGTCCATATATATACACATAAGGATACGCACGCTAGTGTGGGGCGGAGGCGGTGGCTTTAATTCATTCATTTGCAAACTTGTAATCGGCTCACGTCGTTGTCGTCGTCGCACTGACATTATATATATATTTAGGTACCAGTAGCGGCGGCGTCGGTAGCAGCAGAGTTTTTGCGGGCTGGAGGGAGAGAAAGAGAGACGGACAGACAATGACAGAGTGCCAGAGACTGAAAATAAGGGGAGTTTTGCCGCTACTGCACGAGGAGCTATATTATATATTGCTTCAAATGGTGTTGTGTGTGTGTGTGTGCGTGTTCTTTCTCGTATATATATACGCACTGGAGGGTAAAGACGAGCCGTGAGGGTGGAATACAGGCAACAAAAACCTCCTCGCCCCGCAGACTCTACCGCCGCTTGCCACGTGATGAATTCGCCGGCTGGGATTTTCGCGTATTTCGCCCGGGGATTAATAACACGCCCCTCCGGAATCCAATCACGTCTCCCGCCGTACCGCCACGGCCTCGGCTGCTGTTTTGATAACGATCTCCTCCGCTTTTTCGCCACTTCCAATTCATCACCCGCTCTTCCGCGTAAGACTCTCACACACGCACGCAGCAGTCTGACAGATGATATCGCGGGCTCTTTCCCTCTCGATTTATATATACCTTCATTGTTGTCGTCGTCGTGTTCCGTAATAATAATAACAAAGCAAAAAGAGGGCGAAAAAAGACGTAGTTTTCCGAAAAGGTTTGAGCGCGATAACAATAAAAACGAGATAGAGAGGAACAGCGTGGGGTTTATATTATACGGCAAACACGACCGCAAAATTCCGCTCGGACCCTTCGTTGGAGGAAAAAGCCGAATTTATCAATTGACCCGACTCGTTAAGATATTTACAGGCGGTGATTTTTTTCCGGCCGAAATAAAATCTAGGGGATCGCAACGACGTATATATAATGACGCGTACATATATATTATTATATAAATATGGGACGAGGGTAGTACGCGTGATGGAAAGGGCAGATATAACACGATCAGCACTCGTCCATGTAAACGTTATACGTTGATATTATTGTTTATTCTGTGATCATGGGTTTAACATTTTAAATGTAATAAGGAAAATAATTATATTATAATAATATAATCTATATCCCACGAGAGGTGCGTCCTCTGTTTCTACATGTCGCTAAGTTCGAAATAATAAACGACAAAGGAATACTCGGGATACTCCTATAATATAATACATATAATATATAGGTGAAGAAAATATTCTCTTTAAACACGACTTCCGCTAAAGGAGTATTTTTATGCGTGTGTATGAGCACGAAACGTCAACGTAGATCGTCGCGTACCGTAAACATTAACTAACGTAAGGTGAACGTATAGTGTGTGTGTGTGTGTGTGTATACGCGCGAGCGCCCGCGAACAGGACGACGTGCTGCGTTTTGTATAATGAATTCACACGCGATAGTTTATAATATATATTATGCCAAACGCTGCCGCCGCCCGACGACCGCGGTGGGTTTCCGATTCCACTTGTCTATCGTGTCGTAATATTAGTTATAATAGCATAGGTACCTACAACAAACGTTTAATTAAACATCAAACGATCCGACGACGGCGCAACAAAGCTATTTATTCGGTTTTACTTGTTACGCGCAGGGAAACCGACCATCAGCGCCCGATTACAAACAAGACAGCGGCGTACAGTAACAATATATTATTATGTATATTATATACGGATTACAGAGTGATTCACCAAACATGTTCAACACCATTTTTTGCAATGCATTAATTCAAATTCAGAAAACTTATTAAAGGCCGTTTTTTAAAATACTTCCTTAATTTTTTTTACCATTTAGGAAGTGTCCTGTGGCGATATAATTTTTTTATACGAGGGCCACCCTTTTTTTTTACTGTGAATTACTAAACCGACGATTTAAAAAAAATTATTGAAATATTTATTATTAATTACTTTTATATTGATATATTTATATATTAAAATGTAAGCACGAAAGACAATAGATCCACGATAAAAATATTATTATAATAATAATTTATAAATGTGAAAACTTTAATCAATAAGTTTAAACATTTAGGGGCTATGATTATTTGAAAATATTTATAGTAGGTAATTAATAGGAAATTAGGATTATAGGATTATTACTTAAAATCAGCTAGGTAAACATTCGAATTTTGATTTAGAATTTAAATACATCGACATTTAAAAAAGTTTGTATCACCATTGTATGCATGAAAGGGAGGTAATAGGTATATAATATGAAGGTACATTTAAAAATTTCACAAACAAGATTTTGAATTAGTACGTTATTAAAGGATATAAAAGAGAGGGGTGAATATATACTTACTAGTGAATCAGAATCACCCTGTACATACTTTAGTCACGGCGTGTCTATACTAACAATAAATACGATACGCATGTTAGATAAACCCGTGTCTTAATAATTATACTATATTATATACACATCCAATAAAGGTAGGTACGCTGTTTAAGCTATTACAACGCTACAACAAGGGCATACTACCTTTAATAATTTATCAATGTTGGACATTTACC